GGAGGGATACATTTTGATCAAGGGCCTCGCTAAATGCGGTGTGATGACGCAAAACATTGGGATTGGACTCCCAAGTACCGAGAATTATTAGAATATGACACCATCGTTCCAACCATCAAGCATCATCGATTGACGAGTTTTGGAAAATATAGTAAAATTTCCTATCTATATTCCCTCATATCATCATTGGCAGAAAGATTTTCCAGTGACAAATTACCTGCGTTCTTTACTAGTATTGCACTCTGCTGTTATGTTGAAGATGTTTAGACAACAATCACAACATTTCTGTGATTTTTATAACCCGGTAAAGTTTGGTAGTGATGTAAAATTATGGAACTTGGAAGGAAAAGACACGAAAGAAAGACTGTATGAATGAGTTGAAAATGGAGAAACTGGTGAAAGAAGCAAAGACATTTTCCTCGCATACAAAACAAGCTCTACTTATTTCTCTGTCCCAAGAGAGCCCACTTAGTACCTTGCGAAGAGGGAAATCTTGTCTGCGTACAACAGAGACAGAGGATCGCTTGAATGGGCTGTGCGTATTGATTGTACTTAGAAGTCTGATACAAGAAAGAGGAAAAGAAATGGAAAAGGTCGTTCTGCATAAATTTAGCGCAGATAAAAGGAAAAAATGTTTATATACGCTCAAGCAGTACTCACACACCAGTAATGAACTGCTTTATGAAAAACCAATTCATTTTAACTTTTGTATTATATTAAGAAAAATTGAAGGGTATATTCCGTGTACTTTTATAAATAAATATATAAGATAAAATGGAAAAAATACAATAACCTACAAGTATTTTTCAACCCCTCTTGCTCGTTTTCTGACTACGTTCTTGTTCCCAATAATAACTCAATTAATTTCTTCACAAAAAAAGGCTCACACCTTGCAAAAAGTCAGGTAGTTCTATGTTTTTTTTTATGTTGTTAGGACATATTCGAATAGTAGTTCTTTAGGCTTCGAAAGACTTGTGCAATACTAAAAAAAGAGCAAACTATTTGTACAAATCGATTTCTGCTCAAGTAAAAATATCTCCTAAAGTATCAGTGCACCCTAAACAAAGTCTGGTTTAAAGTAAATTAAATTCGCTGTAATTTAAGTCAAGCTGAGCTCCTTACGTTCAGAACTTTCCGATAAACGGCTCTGCAAAAAATTAGCAAATTTTATTCAACAAGTAGAAATTTTTTATTCTGGTTATGTATATCGGTTAAAGTACTCCCACACAAGAAATAAATTTGCGGTATATTTATTTAGCTTAAATTTGAAATAAAAAAGATGTGGGTTGGTGTCTCGAAAGTGGTATATAAAACGAATATTTGAAACAAATGTGTTTGGGGAAAAGTCGATATTAACAGTTTTGAACACAGCAAACTTCAGTTACATACTAAACAAATCGGTTACAAAAAATTGCATACTTTTGTTGTATTATTGGGATTATTAAAATCGTAATTATTTTTACCGACTAACTGAATTAGTTCAGAACCAGTATTGCCGCAGGCTTTTTCCGGTAGGCCCTAGGGTTCAGTTGCTGTTCGGAAGGGAATTCTTGTGGCCGGCGTCTCTGATCAGTAGTTGTCTGTGGTTTCTTCGGTCAATACCACGCGAATTCAGGAGCAGTACCGTAACAAATGGGCCATGGACCACGCGTGATCTTTCCTTCCCCTTCCTCTCCTATGCTCTCCCTTACACTGCACTACCTTTTCCATGCACTACACTACCATACATGTTCGGAGACCACTCGGGAGCTGAGAGCTTATTCGGTCTGGGGTGGTGTTCTCTAGAGGAGATTCCTGAAGAGAGAAATCTCTCACCAGCCGACGTGTAGCCAACTCGCATAAAACATACTCTACATTAATGAAAGTAATGACCATAGTTGTTGACGCGCCTGAAAACATGACTCAAGAATATTTTTACCAAAATGAAATTTGTTTACAAAAGGTAGAGAAAATCATTTTGGTTCTTGATAAATATCCTCCTTAACGCATTAGCCCAGTATACTTTTTGCTATTCACAACTACTAATTAGTTACATCCCATAAATAGTGTAGTTGCAGGATATCAAGACATCAATTGTCATGTCTCAAGAACTAGGAACCAAAGGAATGATGAAAATCGTTGGTAATACGTTTGTGAAAGTAACCTTCCAACGTAGATGAATTATTTACACTGATGTTATCGACAGATCCGTCTAAGAGTCAAATAAGGGCGTAGATGTCTGTCAACTTAAATTTTCTAGAGGTTGTGCACAACAAAACAATCTGGAGATGAATTAAAAGTCCATTTTAAGTATGAACTAACACAGTTCCTTACATTTGTTCAATGTATAGGAGATGCGAAAGGAAGCCAAGTCCAGCTTCTATTCTGCCTTCACTCATCTCTCAAGCAACATTTCAAATGATAATAATTCTTTAATAGCAGTGTGTAATGGATAAATTTTACATAAATTTGAGACCGCAATAATTTCATAGCATCTATTATATAAAGTTATGTCAACTGTCTAACATTCCATTTTAAAACCAATGACTCGATTGTGTTCGACCTATATTGTGAAGAGCGAGCAAACAAATAGAAAATAGGCAGAAACAATGCGACACTCCTCTGCTCACTCTTGTAGCAATATAATTTTTAAGGAGTCGTCAACACTCAAATACCTCAGGAAAAAAAACAATTTTGGCTAATGATAAGAAGAGGTTTAATGCAGACGTATCATGTTTGCATTGAAAGCACTAGCCAAAGAAGACTCTGATCAGTGAAAATGCAGTATTTAAATGTCAAATATTTGATTGTGTTATCGTTACTAGAGAAGATGTGGACCTCCTGATCCTTCCTCAATGGTCTGGGCGCAGCTGCTAAGACCGTCTGCCCACTAAAAGTGCTGGAAAGTGACGTTTGGTGTGTCCTTTTCCCAGGTTCATCTTACACAATGATTTTTGAATTGAAAATTTGAGGGATGTCATCTCTTGAGTGTCGGAAGCTTTTCTGTTGCTTATTACTACAATCCCGATGAAGAGATTCAAAACTTTATTTTAAACCTAACTTGTCTGGACTAAAATTAATTATACAGAATCGACTGGTGAATGAAAGTGTAATGTTAAAATTTAAAAAAATGATCCAAAATAAAGTTATAAAAATTGTAGCGTATATTCATGAAAAGAACGGTAGGTATTTTAAATTGAATTTTCACTCATTTTGTTTCATTTCTTTCAAGCAGTTTAAAATTAGTTTTGGATGTATTTTATACATTCAAATTTGCATATCAGAGTGCAAAAAAAACATTCATTTTCTTTCAGAAATATTTCCGTAAGTGAAACTACTTTTCTCGAAAATAAATTCTAACCAATAATTTCGTAATTTCGAAATTATTTCAAGCATAATAATAAAATATTCAATATAATTATTTGAGCCCTGATATGTCATTTTTTCTTTGCATTATTTTCATGGAAAATATGAGATAAGCATTATTTTATCTACAATGACTAATATTATGCAATTTTCACTTGTCATATACAATCATATTTTGACATTATTTAACTCTTTCGTCATTTTCCGTTAATTTTTCATATTATAGTCATATTTTCCATGGATTTTCGTATTTTTTGTCATATTTTTATATTTTTGATTCCATTTTCGCATATATGCTTACAGTCATCTCAGAGAGATTTTTCATATATCCTATTTGTTATCTAATTTTTTCAATTGTATATAATTGTTGTCTGTCCTTCCTATAAATATATAGGCATGTATGTGAATTAGGAGTGTAAGATACATAGAAGGAGAAAAAGAAAACATAGAAAGCACCAGATGCAAAGGATGTGTTAGTTTAGTTTTGTCAAGTTTTGTGTCAAGATCAACCGCTTCTACAAATTTTATTTGATAACTTAAGCAAGTAGAATTGTATTCACACGGCGCCAATGGAGAAGAGGTGAATTCTGAATGTGTTAAGATTTTAAAAGTATATTTTCAATATAATGGCTATTTAAACAGCAGAAAGAGTTTGAAGGTATCAAAAAAGGCAACCAAATTTTTTTTAATTACATGTTTTCATACTTTTTAGGTCATAAATGCTTGCGTATTTTTAACATTGTTAGATCATAAACATTCAGACCCTAATAAT